TCTCCAACCCCATCTCTATATTTCGCGCGAAACGAGAGAATGATATACCTTGACAGTTTTATCCCAGCTTGCAGTGACAAGCATGCCCGTATTCAGATATGGCGTCTCTGTCCATTTCACGTCCTTGATTGGTGCGTCATGTTGAGCCACTTGACTGCTCTGCCCTGTGGCAAGGTCGAAACTGCGCGCGGCGTTGTCTGCGCCAGCCGAGTATACATGATCCCCTGTCTGCGAGTTCAAGTGATCAGAGTATGGATCTATGGGAGTGGTGGATAACGAGAACGTACTTTGTTCCAACACAATCCGAGAACAGGTGCCTGATGCTCGTACATCGCCTTCCCTTGAGCCTGACCAGTGGGGCTCACTTCGTATATCCGCACCTGTGACAGCGCAGCCAAACGCAGGACCTTTGAGCACCGATGACAACCCTCGATCCACCACAAATACGCACCTTGTTATCCCAACTGCCCGCAGCTAACAACTCCGCTTGTGGCGAGAACGCCAAGCATGACACCGAGTCGGACGGAGGATTTGGGACCTCGACGTCGCCCTCAACCCCGCTCGGAGGTTTCTGCTGCTGTGTGGAGGACGCTGTCCTCGCGTACATGGTGGTCGTTCGTAGTCAGTGCGAAGGACGAGTCGAGTTCGGGCAGCCTGTCGGCACCGAAATTGAACATCATGAGCTTCCTTCTTGGTGCGAATGATTCCCTTTTCCGGACACGCAAGTGAGGTGGAAATCTCACGTGGGAGGCAGAGACAGCAGAAGAACATACAGAGCAGTATTTTAGAAGGATACATGTACATAGCATGCACGATAATCATCAAGATCCTCCCTCCAGAGACAAGGAGAGATCAACTTGAACCATCCAGGTGATCAGCCAAAGCACCGTTCAGTTGAGCCCTCCAAATCTGCAAGTAAATACAACCAACGGAGAAGGGTGTGTTTACCGCTTGGGTGGCTTCCTCTTGACTTCGTCGTCCTTGCACGCGTGCAGCATCAGTTTGTTTGGATGTCCCGGTGTCATGCCAGAATGTCCCTTTGACCAATCGTAGGAGACAGCGTAAGCGAAGATGGAGCCAGTCCGATTGAAGCAGGTGGCAGTGACTGGGCCAGGCGCGGGCTCGAAAGCTATTTCCAGAGAGAGAGGTTGAGTGAAATACCACTCATGTAGAACGGTTAAGTGAACATACTCTTGAGACGGGTACGCGCGTCCTTGTCCCAGTAATTGATTGTACCGTCAGAACCGCACGTAGAAAACGTCCCGTGTACAGGATGGAACGCAATATCATTGACTGCGTACACAAGAGACTGATCTTTCGATGTGGCAGATTGGTCTCGTCGATGACACTTGAACGAGAAGTTGGACCTGGGACGGGTAGGTGAGTATTTGGTGGAATATGCAAAAGGCGAGTCGCTTACCCCGAGTCTTTGTCGTCAACGTATCTGCAAAACAGTTGGTTGTTATTATGAAATATCATATCTAGCGCAAATAAACTCACTGGATGGCCACGCGACCCTCCACACTACCAACTGCAAACCCATTGGCCGATGGGAAACACGAAACCACTCTCGTTTGCCATTTGAGTGGTGAAACCATAGTCTAAAGCCATCATTAATCACATGAATTGCGTCACTCACACTTTGGCGTACCTTATACACGGTTGTTGGGTTGGTCAAGTTGTACACTTGAATGTGGCGTTCCGCGGTACCCACTACCATGAGGGGGTACGCAACATCCAACGTGTAGCAGCGTTCGGGAAGTTGAACAGACGATACAGGACTGGGGGATCGCAAGTCCCAATACTGATGGGGGAACAATGATCAGGGGTCTCCTCGCCATAACACAGGAAGTTGCTACACACCTTCAACGTTTTGTCCCAACTCCCAGTTGCCAAAATTCCACCCTGTGGCGTTTCAATCCACTTCACGACTTTAATGGGGGCGTCGTGTTGAGCAACTTGCTGGGACTGTCCCGTTTGAATGTCGAACATTCGTCCTGCGTTGTCAGCGCCACCAGAGAGGACCTTGGTCCCGTCCTGCAAACGCGCCACGAATAAAAGTGAGGATATGAAATGCATTAAATCCAGGGATATAATCACACCTTATTCCAACAAACACTCAGCACTGGCCCCTGATGAGAATACATCGCCTTGCCCTGCGACTGACCATTCGCACCGACTTCGTATAGGCGAACCTATGAAGAATGTGTTAGGACTCATGCAACCTAAATTTTGACTACCACAAATGCTCACATTGTTGTCCCAGCTTCCAACTGCCAAGTAATCAGCTTGAGGGGAGAATGCTAACGATGAAATGGAGTCGGGAGGAGGTTCTGGGATCTCAATATCCTTGTCCTGAGTTGTCGAAGCCGTAGTGGTCGACGCCGCTGTGCCAAAGAAAGACATCGCGTTCGAGAGACGATATCAGTATCGCCAGCAAGCAAAAGCAGAAAACAAAGCACGAGAGACGACTGAGAGGGGGCGGACAGGGTTTCTGGCATGAGGCGCGTTCATTGTCTGCCTTGCCGACGTGACTGTCACGTGATGTGCTCTTTATATGGATGGCATCCCCGCCTGCGCCTCTTGAAGAGACCGTCATTGAAGCCAGAAACACACCTGCAAGTGGTCGACGTCGCTATCGTTGGCTTTGGGTTGGACAATATTAAAGTTTGCTACATTTCACTTCGCAGTCCATAATATATTATTGATTCTTCCCCGCATCATCTTCCGACAGTGCCGCCTCTCAAGCTCCTGTGGCTGCTCCGATTTCAATATCCTTGTCGTCATCTAGAACCCCTGCGTCCTTCATGGATTTATCTAGCTCACGCTCCTGCTTGAAGGCATCGTTAGAGACACCGCGAGTGCGACCCTTGACACTTCTCTCAGCTTCCGTCGAGCTGCTCAAAAGATCGTTGACTTCCCCTGGAACATTCGGCAGTCAGGCTGCGCTCTGCGAGGATGGCGCAGGATGGGTCAGTACATACCTTTGGGGATTTTCCCTGTGGCTTCGGAGCTGGCGGCCTCCTGGTCCTCCTGGCGGAAGTTGCGACCCGTGGGCTGGTTGTCGGCACCGCGGGCGCCGACTGGCTGGAAATTATCGTCTCTGGACGGAACGAAGTCGTCGTTGTCACGACCGGCGGATGCGCCGGCGTTGTAGGTGAGGCTGTCGACGTTGCCGCCGTAGGATTTGTTTGTCTGGCTGGTCATGGTACGAGTGGTGGTTTGAGATGAAGTTGTGCGGGGCGAGAGGCTGTTTATATGTGCATTTCTGGATGCGCCGTGGACCGATCTGGCGGGCCATCGGGGGCGGGTGCTGAATGACATCTGCAGCACGTCGATTTCTACGTCATCTCTGGGCCATCCCGACGAACACCACGCGAGAACCACGAGGACACTTTCATGGTCACATCTGATAAATGACCCATTCACAGCTATGGCCATGCAGTATAAAATTACTCTGGGGACCCTGCCTTCCCTCCTTACGACTCGTCCCAGCATCGATAGCACAGTATGTACTCGGACATAGACAGCTTCCTCGACAACTACCACCCGATGGCAATTCTGCCCGTTTGCAGCGCCCGGGACCATATTTACCTGTACGGGCTCAAGCGATATCTGGACGAACAAGTCATAAGGTCAGCGGCTATCCCGTAATATTGTATGCCGCCCTTTTCTAAGACACAGGCCCTCTTAGAGTGCAGAACGTGGATCAGCCTTGGTATATTGTCCTAGGAGAACGAGGACTTCCGTGCGAGAACGCAGGCGGTCTCGTCAGAGTGCTAGCCCGTCCAACAGGTATCAAGAAAACCCAAGTGCATACAAACCGTCTCTTACGCGTATTTCGCAATTGGGAGGAGGTCACAAGGTATCTCTGTCGTTCGTTCTTATCTGATCATGTCTGACAATCTATTGCCATTACAGGGACGAAGGACAAGAACTTGATACTACGCCCGAGCAGACCTTAGGCTTATTCCAAAAGCTGCCAGTCGAGACTCGCATAACAATCCTTGCCTTCATCGAAGACGCCACCGACCTCTGCTGCCTCAGCGTCGCACACAGTCTCCTCTTCGAGATCGGGTTTGATGAGTTGAAGAGACGCTACCTCATAATACACAGCAAATATTCCTGGATCGGCCACCGCATTATCTGCTATGATCGTTGTGTCATGCCAGAATCCGCTCCGAAACGCCTATACACGCCGGAACAGATAAAGGAGAGGCGAGAGTGGCTCGAGCAAAACGAACCACAGTCAGATCTTGTCTACTACTACAGTGCAGTTCCAACGAAAAGGGAACTACTACATACCACTTGGAACATTTCAATCCTCTCTTTGACGAAGATCCTAGCAGAGCTGACAGAGCGAGTCGAGCGTACGCAGCAGGCCAAACTCGGTCGCGAGTGGACCAAAGCCGACTCCACGAGGATGGACACATTGCTCCAAATTACTAGGCGATACAGCTACACCTACCGCTCAGACCATCCGTGGGTCATCTACAACCTGACCAAAGGCGAATACATCCGCGCGGACGTCTGCTTCCCATCGTTCGAGAAGAACGACGCCCTCGCCACTAACGGGCTTAGGATGGGCTTGGCGGAGTTGCTCATGGCGAGGATCGTCTGGACCACACATGGGGCGTACACGAGACGGTGGAGGATAAGCAGCAAGGAGTTGCCGTCGTGGGCAGGGGACCGGTTTGCGATAGCGCCGCTGAACGAGCAACCGGTCCTTGATGCCAACATCAACGGAGGTGTATGGAAGGATGTGAGTGTCGAGTCGGCACAGCTGATAGGGCTTGTTACTCCTGTGGACGCGAAGTTGCCTCCCGATAATCATTGAGCCTTTTCTGCGGATACAGGCGACGCACCGAACGATCTGTTGTACGTTATCTAGTGGCGAAATCAAGTTGTGTCTCTTTTCTTTAGTCCGATGTCATCCTTCTTCACAACTTTTGGCTGGAGGGTATAAACGTCATTCAAAAAAAGGAGGTTAGGGAAAAATGCGACCAACCTGGGATTCGAACCCAGAATCTTCAGCTAACAAATAACCGGAAACTGACGCCTTAACCATTAGGCCAGTCGGCCGTTGAAAGGGAATCGCTTCGTACAGTATCTAACCTTGTTCAAGATAAACGCGTCGGAATGACGCGTCGCGTCCTCTCCATCCAGCTACAACAATCTCTCGTCCTGCTCTAACCAACATCCGTCGTCGCACCCCATTACTCATTCAGATGTCTGCAGCCGCCTCATCATCATCGTCTGCGTCCGCGAAGGTCGCTGAACCCTTGAAGGAAGACGAGAGCCAACCCGCGTTGGGTGTCCTGGAGGAGGACGATGAGTTTGAAGAATTCGCCGTCGCAGGTACGTCCAGCCACTCATTTCCTTTCAACGACATGCATGCTCACTGACAAACTATTTCACTATTTGACTCCTGTCTAATAGATTGGGATGACTCACAGACGAACCTGGCTCACCTCGAAGGTACCGCACCAGGGTCAGCCAAATCCAAGGGCGACAAGCTTTGGGAGGATAATTGGGATGACGATGATATTGAGGATGATTTCAGTGTGCAGTTGAGGTGCGTTTTTGGTCTCTTTGATACCGCAATACCTTTGTTCTGACGAGGTTTCGTGCGTTTCCTCAGACAAGAATTGACCAAGAAGGGCGGAGAGCCGATGCAGCATTAGGATGCCCCAGATGTACTATAATCCACTTGCCTCATGATCATGATTGTCCGCTTTCCGTTGCCACAGTGTGTGTTACAGTGTCTAGCGGGTTCAGCGCACGTCCAAAAGCTTCCTGGGTGATTGTAACCCCTCATGCTCTTCACGGTAATCTCACGGTGCCCAATCAAGGTTCGAAGGATCAGACCTCTCCATACCCGTATACGTTTCTCGTCATCGAGCATCTTAACTTCTTTGCAGTCTCCATCCATCTCCGTCCCCATCAAATGTATGTTTTTGGGATGTCAAGCAAACCCCGTTGGAACATATATCATTAGACAGACAAGAAAACTATACGACAAGACATCCCTATATACTTAAGCTATGAAATAAATAGTAATTGCAAGATAGAACGACGTGACGATCGTAACGACGAGCGTGTAAGAGAGGAGAGTGAGAGTATGTATCCCGAATCACAACAAATCCACGTTACTGGGTCATCAAGGATATCAAGGGAATGGAATGGTGGACTCTAGTGGGGGGTCACCTCATGCAACGGTTTTGATACGCTCATCAGCGTCCAGCTTCTCTTTTGTGGTCTCATCAGAGTTGATGGAAGAGGTTTCGCTGGCAAGACCCATGAGAGAGGTGTCGTAGCCGTTGGCCTCGAGGTACTCGCGGAACTGAGTAAAAAAAGCAAGTCCATGAGACTCAATATCGAGAATAATTTTGGGGTTGAACGTACCTCGAGGTCCTCCTGCAACATGCTGTCCTGGTCGAGAGGCTTGATCATGAGGAAGGTGATGATGGCACTGAAGACAGCGAGACCACTGCCAACCCAGAAGGGGCCGGTGTTTCCCTTGATGGATTTGGGTCCACCGAAAGCGTCGATCATGGGAGGGAAGGCTAGGAGAGAAGATTTGAGTTACATGTGAAGGCACTCCGAAAAGAGTACATACCCCAGGTACCGACGAAAGCACCGATCTTGCCGATGGCGGCGGCGATACCGTAGAACTGACCACGAACGGCGGTGGGTCCAGTCTTGGCAGCAAGCATACCGAGGCAGTTTCCGGGACCCATCTCACCGAAGGACAAGAAGATACCGTAGACAACAGCGAAGGCGCCGATGTGGTTGGTCAAGCTGTAGGGTCATCTAGGTCAACTACTTGTCATGGGATGGGACATGTGAGAAAGACATACTGAACATAGAGACCGCTCATGATGAATCCGATGACAGCCTGGCACAACAAGCCGGTGATCATGCACCACTTGGGACCGAGGTAGTCGACGACGAAGGCACCACCGAGAGTTCCGGGCATGTAGAAGCAGCTATTGGACAGGATATTAGGCACATAACTGACCTCGGGCTCTTAATTGAACTCACTTGATAACGGTAGCCCAGCCGAAGACGACAGTAAGGGAGTCATTTCCGTGGGTGATGTTGTCAACAACCGTGGAGGAGTAGATACCGAACTAAAAGTAGATTCTCGTCAGGATATGGGTAGAGCTGTGAACGTGCGTTCCGACTTACGGGATAGGTGATGAAGTCGTAAATGAACCATGTGAGGGAGATACCAGCGAAAGGCTTCCAATAGCGCTTGATGATCAACCAGTATGGGGTCTTGCCACGGACGATAGCGTTCTTCTTGTAGTGAGAGGGCTCATCCATCTTCAACCGCCAAAGCAAGACGGCAAGAGCAGGGACGACACCGAGACCGAGAGACAGACGCCATACAGCACGGAGGTGATTGTTCCCGAAACTGAGGGAAGTCAGGCCCGAAGGTTAGCGCCATTCCATAGGCAGATCTCTGGTACCACTTACATCCAGAACAAAACGAGAGGAGTGAAGGACGAAATCACGAAGCCGAAATCAATCATAGAGTCTAGCAATTGGACGATGGATTAGATAACAGACGGATGCGTGTGTGGGGAAATGGTCTTACTCGTCGCAAGGGCGAACCACCTGTTTTGAGTACCCTTCTTGACACCCTCCTCCTCAGACTGTTCTGAAGCAGCGACGGAACCACAGGGATACTCTGCACCAACGCCAATTCCGAGCAAGAAGCGGCAGGCTGTAAGCATGGCAAGCAGACCACCAAGACTTCCGTGCGCTCCGCTGGAAGCGGCAGAAAGAGCGGAGAACACAGCGACAATGCCGGTGGCAGCCATCTGAATCGGACGTTGATCAGGAGGTCGATGTGGAGGTGGCGTGGGTGTGCACATACCATACCGAATTTGCGACCCAACTTGTCCGAGAGGTAGCCGAATGTCAACATTCCGACAACAGTACCAGCGAAGGCAACACTGCTGATCGTGGTGCCGTAGTTGTGTGCACCAACCCGGTCTGCACCGTACACACGCTTCAAGACTGCGAGGAGATTCAGGCAAACGTCTCATTGCTTTGCATGAGAGGAATACATACGAGTGTTGACTGTAAAACGTGTGAGTACGTTGTGACAGCGTAGGTTCCGAACGAGGTGAGCTTACCTTGTCCGATGACACCGTTAGCGTAGCCTGTAATTTACGACCGTCAGTTAAATTGTACACCGACAGCATGCTTTTCGCGAATCATACCATCGGAGAAGAGCGCTGTACCACATCTAAGAAAGATAATCGTGAGTGAGGCGTGAGATGCAGCGGACGGAGGGGGACGTACGCGAAGATGAGGGAGACACGGCCGAGTCCTGTCTTTGCCATTGTAGAAGGGAGGAAAGAGGACTTTGTTTCTGGCGGACATGGAGGGGCAGAGCGGTTCTACTTATCTTGTTCACGGGCTCTGATGCCATTTCCATTTTGTGATCCAAAAATGATGAGGATGATGTTGTGATCCCTCCTTGCTCCAGGAAGTCTCGGAAGGGCCCTGAGAACATGTCAGTCCCGGCTGTAAATAAACCGCAAACGTGCGTCACAAACTCACGCCAGTCAGAATCCACCCATCCGACCCCGGTCCTTTCGTTATAGCGCACGGTTTGATACCAACAACACCTCAACCCATCAAACCCATCTCCCTCTGTGTACACCTCCGACCTCTTGGGTCTCTCGCGATATGAGCTGCCTTTCCTCTTACTGCTTTTCCATGCTGCGCAAATATGAAGCGTGACGATAAGTGGAAGAACAGTGAGCCGATGCCGGTGCGGCCCTCACCTCAAAACTTTTTCGTGGTTTTCAGCAGCGATCGACACCTTCCAATTTCGGTCACCGTATTTCATTTCAGCAGGCTCGGGGCCAAGCCGCGTAGTGGACACTCATCCACCATTGTTCCGGATCAATATTGTTTTAAAACTCCTCGGAACGCTATGGGTGGATATCGATGCCGACGGAGGTTCAGTGCGTTCGGGGAACGTTGTCGACGGCGATGGAAGAACTTGCACACCGATGCACGCCGAAGGCAGCTTCATACAATCGTCGAGTGTAGTCTCGAGAACGTTCGACTGTCCTGCACGCGACTTTCAACTATACTCCAGCTGAAAAACCTTACTCAGGTGTAACACATGCAGAGGCACAACCCGCCGGCACACATACTACATATCACATCGTTCTCTTCTTGGCGTACGACTTGCTCGTTCCGAGTCAATGAATCCTGAACGAATCCAAACCCTGCATGTAGCTTGCGACTGTACGGTGCGATAGAGAACCTGCATATGCTCATGTTCGATCCCGAAGCAGGGGTTTGTGTGTTATCAGAGCGTCTTGCCAGGAGCCATGATCATGTGGTTCAATGCAATGTCAAAGTCCAAGTTCATGGGTTTGAATGCCTGAGAATGTCCACTTCGGCCTCCAAACCACACCGAAGGGGACATTACGAGGAGGGAGTGAATGAGATTCTCGCAGCTATCCTCGCATGACCACTCCCGTCGCCGCTGAGCACCGACCACCGCAGACCCGATTCACCCCGAACCACCCCAATCCAAGGTATTCTGACTTAGCGACGAAGGACAGGCGTACCCTGGACATCCGGAATATTCAACGTCTGTCGCAGGCTGCGCCTGGCTTTTGTCGCTACGTAGAAGCATCGCACGATCTTATTATCCCGTAGGTCACGGAGGTAAATGTGATGCCATAAAAGACATGGTGTCTTGCATGGAGGGTTCGAAAACCGAGTACATGATAAAACTAGTACAAGACACAGACCAGACCAAGGACTGAGAAGTCTATTTTCACCTTCAGCTCCGAGGCTCCGATAGACTTGTCGACGAGCGGTGGACACACACAGCCTCCAGAAGACCGCTGACAGCCATCGCGGAGCTTAGTCCACGCTTTAGGACAATAGTCGGCGCACCAATTCGGGCGGTGGACCGGCCGATGGCGGACGGGTGTAAAGAGGTAGGGAATAATATGAGATCCAGGTGGCTGGGCAGCTAGAGGAACGGTGCGTCAGACCTTCATAACTTACCAGATCTGATCTCACGCACCATCTTCAGA